CCCTTTAAAACGGCCCGGACGCCCGCCGCCGCACGTCGAAGCTGCGACGCTGTCGAGCACCGCGTGGCTCTTTAAACCACCGCGTGGCCGGCCCCGTCCCGCCCCGCCCCGCGCCGCGCACCGTTACCCTCGCTCACGGGCCGCGAAGCCGGGTAAACACGCGCTGTAAATACCGCCCGTCTCCGCGCGCGTAAGAACGCATCTGTACATACCGATCATCTTCTAAAACTCCATTGTAAAATACCGATCATCATTCTAAAGCACCATTGTAAAATACCGATCATCTTCGCACGCGTAAACCCGCGTTATAAACGGCTCCTCGCCGAAGTGTAAATACTCATTTATCTGTGCCTAAATAAATCCGTTGTTTCGTCAAACTATCGTAATTATTGTCGTGCCCTGACTCTGCCGCGAACTCCTGCCCGGCGAGCTAAGTCCGGTTCGCAAATTAACACCAACGGAGGGTCGTTTCAACTTTCTTCATTACATTGTGTACCATCACCTCTGAAACACCCTGTATAATGAAAAACAGAGTCCTCTACCTATGTTTGTTAGGACTTTTTGCTAAAACGTATACATTTCACCATTACATTTTGTAGCATCACTTTTGAAACACCAAGTATACTGAAAAAATCTTCATTTACGGATTCCATGAAATCTCAAACATCTATAACTCAAAAACTAATCAACCGAATATTAATCATTAATATATGAAATAGGGGTAGAAAGGACTGGAAAGAATAATAGAATTAGAATTTGCCCGATATGTTGAAAATTTGAAAAATTATTCAGGAATTTCAACGTAAATATACATATATATGTATGTAAAAACTGAACCCTTGTACCGATTAAAGTGAAATACAATACCAACCCTCTCCTAATGACAATAAATAAATGTGCCAAAGTAGAAGGCGATATCTCAAAAATTGCGGAGGAGAGAGCGCGAACAATTATTGCGCACATACACACACACAGACATTTTGGAAAAAAGTGTGTTTTTTGGTGGATATCTCGAAAATTGCGAAGGTGGGAGCGATAACAATTATTGCGCACGCACACACACACACACACAGTTTTTAAATTAGTGTGTTTTTGCAGTTTTTAGATTATACTAAACCCATTGGCATAGAAAACCCAAAAAAAAATTTTCGCATGAAAACAAAGCTTCCTCTATGAGGAAGCAAAATATTACGCATCGTTTGATTTTCCACATTTAGTGAAGAGATTAGCGAGTTTACTAAGACAACACAAACATCTGTATTGCAGTGAAAAAATAATTGCATCATTTGAGGACTTTAAAACAACATGGTCTATTGATGATGCTACTAAAGGAGGTTCCAATTTATTGTCTCATATTACGGAAGCACATATTCATCCCAATGCTTTTGAAACGATGAATGTCAAAAGAGCTTTTCAGTTATTTAGTCATACATTTGCAGCCGCAATAAAAACTGCCGGTCATGGAAAGCTACTACAAACAAATACATGGGAAGCAACGGCTTGTTACGTCCGATTTTTATGGGGACGCATGTCTCGCTGGGAGACGAGGGGAAATGAGAGAATAGATTGGGTGGTTAGTAGAATGAATAGAACATCTGGAAAGGAACTAAATTATATATTATAACAGAAATGAGTATGTACAAAGCAGAGAGAGAGAGGGACAGTGAAAGAGAAAACGAACAGAAAATGGGGAAAACTTAGCCCAGGGAGGGCATGTCCTTGGCGGCTCGGAGCTGGGTCCTGGGCCGTCGGACGATCCGGACCTTCTGGGGGAGGGCCTCTATCCTCACGATGCAGGGTCTAGTCTTGCGAGGGGCCAGGCTTGGTTGTGGGCCCTTTGGTTCCGGCGGGGGCTTCCTCGTCGGTTCCGCCGGTGGCGCAAGTGGCGGGCTGTCCAGGCTGGCCCTTGCGGGCCTAGGCGCGGGGGTGATCGGCGGGCGCGGAGCCCACGCCCTGACCGGGCAAGGGTCAGGTGCCCTGTATGGTGGTGGGAGGTGAGGAGGACAGGGGTTTAGCGGAGGGTTGTTGGGAGAAGGAGGGTGAAACGGGAGCGCGGGTTTTTCAGGCTCTAGAGGCCTGTCAAAGATCCTGGGGTCAAAGACCCCAGCGGTAGCGTACGCTCGTTTAACAATAAGTCGGCGGAGCTGGACTAAGCGTCCAGCTCGTCGCGATCTGCCCATTTCTGGGTGTGCCTGCGGGAAGCATCTCGGATTAGCAGTGTGATAAAGCGGGGGAAGCAATGCATGCTGTTAGTCATGATGGGGACTAATCCTGACTTATTATTAATTAACATAATTCCCTTAAATAGGCACTCAGAGAAAGGGTAATTGTTTCAAAATCGCGGGGGAGGAAGCGAAGTTGAACTTCAGATGCTGTCTTTTTAGTAGAATGCTCAGATGGATTCTTCGATTATAATAATCGATTTCAGTGCCGTCATCACTGCATTCTTGGCAACTTCTGATTCATATTATTGTAGTAGGGAGACCCGAGAGTGAGTGATTTGACTGCGGTTAACGTTAATCTGAAAATGGAACGCGTAAGTGGCAGATCAAAAGTAATTACGTTAACTATTTCATTGCACCGAACGAAATAACTAAAGTTCATAACAATTAGAACGTAAGATCGGTAAATTTCGCTGTGTGCCAATCTTAGCATGAGATTCCATCTGTTCGAGGGTACCCTGTGAAATTGCCCCTGGAACGACTGGGAACTGAGGTTGGTTACGACGGAGAAGGTCCCCCTTTCTTTTGCGGGGTTCAGACCAGGTGACTGGTGTTGACGACGTGGAGGAGATCGGTGAGGACTGGCGGCTCAATGCCAGTTCGAGGAGAGGTGGTGGTTTCCCGCCGGAGGAACGTCGTTACGAAGGCGCGCAACCGATGGAGGAGAACCGGAGGAACGCCGGTGGAGGCGCGCAACCGGAGGCGGAAAATCGGAGGAACGCCGATGGAGGCGCGCAACCGATGGAGGAGAACCGGAGGAACGCCTATGGAGGCGCGCAACCGGAGGCGGAAAATCGGAGGAACGCCGATGGAGGCGCGCAACCGATGGAGGAGAACCGGAGGAACGCCGATGGGGGCGCG